GGGGGGGGGGGGGGGGGGTCTATTCAGAAATATTAAAGAATATTTCGTTACTTCGCGGGCCGCCAAGTGGATGCTGGCCGGTCGTATGTTGTGCAGGCCTGCTAAAAAGAATTGAGCAAAGCAAGAGTCGGAGAGTTCTATAATAAATGATGGGCCAACATGTCAAAATGTCACAGTCCATCCAGGTCTCCTCAGTTTTCATTGGCTTACATTAAAATGGTGACTCTTTAGGCGTGGTGCTTGGAAGAATTAAATGTAATCAGAATTAAAAATATAGAAATCGCACTTCGAAAAACGAGAATATTATCAGAGCCGTTCTAAGGAGTTTGGGGACCCTAAGCATGGAGCGTAGGTTGGGGGCCCCGGAAGGGGGGGTGTCCGGGGTGGAGCTCCCTCGAGCTGAGGCGAAAACACCACCCCTGCCTCCGAATTCAACTCAAAATGATAAATTTCAGGATTAGGAAGATAACGTGAGTGACACAGACGGCTGCAGTGTCAGTTTAAAAAAACAAAACGGGGGATTGAGGGTGCCTCACGGGGGCCCCCTCACGCTCGGGGCCCTACGCGGATTTATAGTGATTTTCGATTGTTGAAAAGTATCAATTTACATTTTTTTTAAAGGAAATTCTTTAAGTAGGGCTCTGATTTCTTAACTGTTCAAGTCTCCCCACCCCCACCCACCCAACATTATTAGAAATAAATTTTATAGATTTTACTTGGTTAGTTTTCTATAATTTGAAACAGCAATCTCATAAATTCGTGTATTGTAAAGATCTGGCTTGTTGAGAGAATATTTGTAAAATATATTTTTAGTTTCACCTTATCTGTTCATGCCTAATATTTTTCATTTTTAAAAACTTAGAGATTATTTAATTAAATTACTTAATTGATTTTGGCTGATTTTTGAATTAGCCTATAAATATTATATATCCCTATACAGATGCAAAAATTGACATTATGTCACCCTGTGCGCAGTGCCGTCTCAAGGCAGGGGCACACTGGGCTATTCGGTGAAGTAAATCATTGAAACACCCTGTCACAACCTACCCCACACTATGTGACAACCAACTTTTACTGTAGGGCTGGCTGTCTCACAGTGTAGGGCTTTTAGAAATGGCATGTCTAAAGAAATTTGTATACAACTCATACCTTAGTAACTTAGAAATAAATTCGTTGCACAGAGCAAAATCTGACTTTGGTCAATTAAAATGTAATAAATGATGGGCAAACATGTCAAAATGTCACAGTCCATCCAGGTCTCCTCTGTTTTCACAAATTAACCTTTTGCCAGTGTCTCATGAATTAAGTTCAGGGATCAGAGTGTTCCCTGCAAAATTTTTTAAATAAATTATGCAATGATTTCTTTCCTTTAATTACCTTATATATAAATGTTGCAATGCATCATAACTTTTAAAAGCATCTGTCAAGATTTCTCCTGAAGACAATGAAACCTCAAATATAATGGTAATTAAATACAGCAATTAATCATTTTAACAAGCATCAAGATTTTAAGTTGAAAATAATACAAAGGAACTGGTGAGAATTAATTATTGTAAATGACTTTATTTAGAAAACAATGGCTTCTTCATAAAAGAAATTTTTCTAGTGGAAGTATAGTTAATTTTTAATACAAACATAATTATAATACCAATCAATTGACAAGTAAATAACATTAAGGAATGAGAATATTCTGGAATCCTTGTGTGAATAATTATTTGGTCAAATGTTTCACTCTCTTCATAAACATCTTAAGTCTTTTTTTTTTTAAATGCACTTTCTACCACACACACAAAAAAAGGAAAAAAAATCACATGCACACATTTTTATATTTTTTATAAAATACTCTCTGATCCCATGCACACATCTGTGTAATCATTCTTACCATATACAATCCTTTTCAAGTTTTATAAAAACATTACATGCACACATAAAAATAATATTTCTTATATACTCTCTCGTTACATCTACCTTCTTACTGTTTTCATAAAATTTTCGTACATTAAAGAAACACATTTTCATTTGTTATTTAAATATGCTTCAATCAAATTCAAACACTTTTTTAATATCCCAATTTACATACTGAATAGTTTATTTTATTTGGTATAATAGCATTTATTCCAGTCAAACAAACAAATAATTTTCCTTGTAAAAACAAGGTATTATTTCAATCAATCTCAGTTTGCCAGCATAAAATGCTTGTACATTTTGTATAAATAAAATCAATTTAATCAGTGTGATATCCATGCACAATGAGTGTCATACAGCTGAGTATGAGCTACTTATTTAATTAAAGTAAACAAAAATTGCCGCATTAGTACCAAGTGTCCTCCTGCTTGCAAGTAAAAACAGTTGCATCAAGTCAAAACTTTAAGTGCTGTGGAACAACCCTGGTCTTAACCAATCCAACTTTTAGACCAAATTTTTTATAAACTGTTATTTTTATAATGGAAATTTATTAAGGTGTAAATTAATAAAAAAATTTGTTTACTTGCTATGTAAACAAGCAGAATGAAAATAAGTACATGTCATTGAATTTCAGAACATTCATGTTAAAGTATTGATAAAGGCCCCCAGCGGTGCACAACAATTGATTTAGACAATGTCAATACATTTATAAAATTCAATACAGTACTTTCTTCATAAATTTAACACATTGCAATTTGATATATTGCTCTACTTAATTACCACTTTATTATTTTTTTGCCATGTTTACTTCTCAACTACTCTCTTACATGCTTTTATAACTTGGATTATCTTCCTTCTTACATAATATTTTTGTTCATGCTTCCAATCTTTTTAAATAAAAATTTACCTTGTTTTCTTTTCCTTAAATGTGTCATGAACTATTGCCTTGAAAACAACATCTCATGTCAAAAATGTGTGCATGAGACGTAAGCATATTAAAGAAAAAATATACATTAAGGTAAGATATTAACAAATCCAGAAAATTTTAAATCATCCAGTTATAAATATCACAGTTTAACTTTTGGAATTGAAGCAAAAAAAAAAAGATTATTTTAGCAGGTACACAGACTATAACTAACTCAGCCCCTTACGGTACGAGTGAGCTTTCTTTGCCCAATGATTACAGTGAAGGTAGCTGACTTTTTTGGCAAGACACTATCTCCTTGAGTAGTTAAATATACCTGCAACTCTTACAGGTATAAAATAAAATAACTGGAAAGATAAAGATTGATGGATCTATTTCATTTTTTGGCATAGATAACAATTTACTTTCCTAGAGTTAATGAGTAAAATCTGGGTGAATAGTGTCATTTATCCAACTTCAAATGGAGAAGCCCAATCCTTCTTTTTAAATTGACTGAATTTACACACAACAAACTTGTTAAAGCTCTTTAAACGATGTCAGCCCCAGAGAATTCCAGACGCCATAGTTGAATTTTATTTAAAACTAGTAGCTGGTCTGCTCCATTTAAAATAAGAATGGTTATTACAGTGAGCTTTTAAAAGAATTCTGAGTTGAATCAGAAGATCACAGCCACCACTATTGCGGGGTTCCTCCAAAGTTGTCAGTTTTGATAAGTGCCAAACACAGATAAATTAAAACAAGGTGCATTTAAATTTTCCTTTACTGCTTTTATTTGTCTTGAGTGCGTGTCTTGTGGCCGTCTCAAAGACCTCCCTAATTCCTTCCTTTGTCCTGGCAGAGCATTCAACATAAGCTGCAGCTCCAATTCTGTATATATTAAATTAATCGTTTTAGACATAACATACTATTTAAAAGTCACACATATTGTACAAATAAAAATAATTCCATTCAGATGATGCTTTTTTTAATTCAAATTTTTGGGAGGTTTCATTTCAATTTTTAAAATCATTTTTAAGTACTTCTTAATGTTATAAAAAATGATTGCTCATGGCTTATACTAATTGCTATAGTTTTAACGTGTTTTGAATATCACCTTTCAGCCATAGCTTTTCCTTCTTCTGCCTTCACAGGACTCTGTTTCAACCTGGCCAGTTCCTCTATTGTTGAGGGGTCATTTCGTAAATCCTTTTTGTTGCCTACAAGGATGACCGGAACATTTGGACAGAAATGCCTTACCTGTTGAATTTAAGATTTTGATAATATAATAATTTAATAGGAGAGTCTGCTATACTATGAATGTTTATTTTAAAATTGACATAGGCAGCATCAATAAATGACCGGCATCAATATATGACTGGCTTCACCAATCTTAAATAATACCCTGGTGAAAATATGTCTGCAAACCTGCTACACATACTCTTCATGATCAAACTTAAAATATTGTGGAAGTTTTAAACTACAACTAGTTCATTCCATTTCAAGGCCAGGCCGCCCGATGTAAATAATTTTAATGTAAAAGAAATATAAAATTTACATGAGTCATAGCTCTGTGATTTTTAAAATAAATTTCAATTGAAAATCATTGAAAATTTAGATTGGTTCATAATACTTTATCTAAAGGTTTTTGTTTAAAGTCTAACACTTTCAAAATTACGCTAGAAAAGCAAGCCTACATATAAATACATAAGGCATAAGTTAGTTAACAGGGCAGACAAAAGACCAGTGGGTAAAGGCTAACGTTTGTTCAAAGTGAGCCATACTGAAAAATCTTAGACCTAACAAGGAATTTTTCTAATAAAAAGCATGACAAGTGCATACCTGGGCAAAGCCAGGTAAATAATATTGTTTTAAATAAATATCAAAATGCTTCAATTTAATTTCTTTTTAAAGTAAAAACAGCAAAACATTTTAGTTTTAGACACAGCTCACTCACCCCTCTCACCCATATTTTAAAGTAGAAACCTTGGTTAACAGTTACATTGTCCAATCTCAGGAATCGATACTGACCTCTGGTGTCCATTTCTCTCCTATATTCTCTAAACTGTCTGGATTGTCTACACTGTAACACATCAGAATAACATGTGTATCTGGGTATGATAAGGGGCGTAACCTGTCATAGTCTTCCTGGCCGGCTGTATCCCACAATGCTAACTCTACCTGTAATTAAGATTTTAAGATACCATGAGACAGTCAATAAAAATGATGTTAGATCGTCACAAATTACATAATGATTACAAATGACTCTTTCCCAGTGGGAGACGAATCTTTGAAAAATCTGGACAGCATAATTTGAGCGAATTTCTGGTTCTGGTAGTGTTTCGTTGCTGCATCCATGTACTGGCATCTTTGCAACGGTTAGGGGTATGATGTTGCTATTCTAACAGCTCCTAGCTGATGCCAGGGCAGCCTTGAAGCTTTCGACCGATGTCGAGTTCACAGCGGCATCGTCCAGGTGTTTCCATGCTATTATTGGGAAGAAAGATTGTTGATTCTGCACTGTGTTGCACTGAGGCACTTTGAAGCATTTGCTATTGTTTCGGATGTAATTCAGAACTTGAAACATCTGAATCATTTTTACGTCACCCGTTAAAAACTCTTTTTCTAACTATTCTAAGGATCATAAAATGAGAAGAGAAGTAGGGATTTCTTGTACCCCCTCCCCGGGGGTGGGGGTGGGGGGATAAAAATGGCAGATTAGAAAGCACTGTCTTGAGGATTAGAGTGTTAAAACTTAACATAATAATAATTAGAGGAATAAACTAAACTTCATTATGATTAAAGCATTAAAGCACAGTGTGTCACGTGATATTCGTTCGAATCATTGCTTGGCACGTAGGCTGCACTGGGGTGCGAAATAGGCTGTTCAAATTGGTCAAGTAAATCGACTCGGTATAAACAAAACCACTAAACATTAACAAAACCACTAAACATTAACAAAACCACTAAACATAAACAAAACCACTAAAAATAAACAAAACCACTAAACATTAACAAAACCACTAAACATAAACAAAACCACTAAACTACTAAACATTAACAAAACCACTAAACATAAACAAAACCACTAAACATAAACAAAACCACTAAACATTAACGATGAACTCACTGTCTTGCCATCCACCACGATGTCAGCTACGTAGTTCTCAAACACTGTAGGCACGTAGACCTCGGGGAACTGGTCCTTACTAAAGACGATCAGAAGACAGGTCTTACCGCAGGCGCCGTCACCAACAATGACAAGCTTCTTCCTGATTGGAGTCGCCATGGCAACGTGCTCTTTGCGTTTAGGCTAATTTGAACTGAAATTAAACAAACGAAAACCAAGGGTTCATTACATTTCAAAGGTTGTGACTGAGACTGAGGATAGTCTGTATATTTGTGAACACAGATTGTGTACAGCAGTGGTTCTCAGGCTTATTTCGGCTGCCACCCCTTTAAACCGCACACTGAACTAATTCATGGCCATTCATGGATATTCCGAATAAAGTGAAAATTTCTTCTTGATGTTTTAAAATATGTATGATCAGGTGAAATGCTGGTGAAATATCATAAAATAAACTACAGGTACTAGAGTTTAATGTTAGCTTTAAGTGTGAAAGTAAGTGTCACATCCAGGCATCCAGATAAAAGCAATGTGTTGCTGAAAGTTTGGGTACTATTAGTGTCATGTCCTTTTCTGTTCAAAGTAATCTTTACGTCTGTTTCTTAACCATTCGCAAGTCAAATACATGCATATTAATAATAGTATAGATGCTACAATGTTCGTAAAAATTCACTCGCCACGTGTGTGTGCTCAGTCTCTGTGTAGAACCGGCCAGAACTGCTTTCGCTATGTGTCGCAGATTTGTGGTGCTTTGCATCCTTTCTAAATATACGAGATCTTTCATATTTACCTACCATTCTTGAACAGATCCTGTTTACACGTGTGTGAATATGTGTATTTAAATCTAACTTCCCTGATACGAACATTCACATAGTCAAAGTCAATAGGTAGGCCTACTTTGCAAGTTTGAATGCATTCTTTTCTTTTAATTATGTCATGATCGACTTTAAAAACAATGAAAGCCAATGATTGCTCAACTATTTTAACAATGGAATCAGTTATTATAGATGGTATTTATAAAGTCCACATATTATGATTAATCTCCAAATAAGGTCACCAAATGAAATCGACAAAATTGAAGCCATTTTTGCAGGAAGTGATGAGTGTTTAAAATAAATAAATAAAAACAGTTTGGTTGTAAACATTTTTAAAAGTTTTTAAAAAAATCTTAAAATACATAATGCAAATAAAACTTTTAAAAAAATAGTTTGCATTTGGTGAAATAATAAATGATTTTATTATGGTCTTTAATATTACATTATATATTTAAAATAATATTATCAATGCGCCCCCCCCCAACCACCTCATTGTGATGATTATCTCATTTGCATTATCATTTTATTAATAATATTAGACATTTTGGTTATAAGAGACTCTTCAAAATTACTTTACTTGCTTTTTTATCATAAGTTTCTAAACACTTGTGTACATACATAGATAAGAACAATCATCTGTCACCTCTTTTACTAGTTTTAAGTCTCGTTATTGTTTGACTAGATGAAATCCGTGGGGCTAGAGTAATATCCCTTTTCATAAGTTATTTAATAAATAATTATATTAAAAGTTATAAATTCTTTAATGAAAATTTAAATACTGATTTTATTCTCAGATTGACACAAATTTTATTAGTTGAAGCGTATATGTTTCAATGGGCAATGGTAGCGTCTGTGATCTCACAGACAAGCATATTGTTATATAACTAGAGACAATTTAAATAAAAGTCTAATAAACGGCATGCCACGTATAAAAACGCACCAACTTATTCAAAAATCCCGAGAGGGCTCAAACTCGAACTAACTACAAACGCATTATCGATCTCTTTAATGTGTGTGCATTATAACTTCTGACACGGATTGTCAACACAAATGAAATGAATAGACTTGGTGTTCCCAAGCTGTGTTGAATAGATTTTGTTTAAAACATGCATAGAACCTCTCGCTTTTCTAAAAATGTCCATACACGGTAGACATTAAGTCACATATTTAGACAGAAATCGGAGGTCCATAGAAGGCGGTCTAACCAACTGGGATTTGGGGCAAGCATTTTTACAACAAATGATCAATCCAAAAAAAAAAAAAAAAAAAATTAAGTCAAATTTTTAGACAGAAATCGGGGGTCAAAAGAAGGCGGTCTAACCAACTGGGATTTGGGGCAAGCATTTTTAAAAAAAATGATAAATCAAAAAAAAAAAAAAAAAAAAATACTATGAACATTTAGACCATTGTGTCATGTTTCTCTCGCGGGACGATATTTTGGGACAAGGGCTTTTAAAAAGGGGTAAATTCTTGGAAAGGAAAATAGTTTAAAACTTAATGTGCTAGTGTAACTTACTTGGCGACGTGTTTAATGTCTGATTTAAATTGTAACTCTTACGTTAAAAGACCCATTAAAATCATTTAATAATTACTACTTCTCTTAGTCTATTGTTTCAGCCGGTGACCTCACATGAATCCTTTCGCAACCCATGTGAGGTCATATTCGACTTTTGCTTCACAGGCATATTGTTAGCTAGTTATCTGTTCCTGGTAATATGGGGGTCATGCCCATTTTATATAACACAAAAATATCACATTTTGACCTATTCCACATAACTTTATATAACATATCCATTGTCACCCCACCCCCAACCCCATTATTATATAGCATTTCAAGCAACCACACCATTCCGAAATAATAGAAATGCATAGTATAAAATGGTACTTTAAGTTATGTGTTCCCAGTATCCGCAGACGCCCCTGTCACTGAACGATATATACTTACTATATGGATAATTCATATGCGACCGAATGTTCTCGACCCAACGGAAAGTAATTTAAATAGCGCCTCTTCAAGGGGTATTAGCATCGTACTATCGATGTTACAACATTTTGTCTTTGCAATGTTACCAGTATATTACAATTCTTTTTTTATTTTTTATTTTTTTTTTTGTTGCAAAATTACTTCATACGCTAATGTGTTGGTCATATAAGAACCACGCCAGTTTTATTTTATTGCTAAATATAGCCCGCCAAACATTGGCGACAGCAATGTGTTAAACTCCCATCTAGTAAAGTTACTTGACAAAACATGAACTCAAGTAACGCACATTTAAGAATCCCAATTTTTGCTACACCCTTCCCCCTATGATACGTCACTGCACACTTTTTTGTTCAAGCCCATGAACTATATTAAATATTCTGATGTCCCAGCCACTTTTAAACAGAATATTTTTTTTTACACCATGCTTGAATTGAGACGATTTCATTTTCCGTAAAGAAAATATTACGCGCCAAACGCAGTTGCGTTATTTAAATTTTTTTTTTTTTTTTTTTTAAATCATTTAGCGTAGTTATCGGGAATTATATTTTGCGCGCTGTTGAACTCATGATTGAACCCTAATTTCTTTCAATTTAGTAATGGTCTGGTCTAAATATCATGGGGCTTACAGGCGCATAATTTTGTTTCATTATATAGTATAGTGCTTTCAAAAAGAAATTTTACGTACATTTTAACGTGTGAACTGAAAAAACGATTCGATTAAATTTCCGTCGATCAATTTACCGTCGATGAGATTTCTTTAACACAAATTTCCGGTAACCAATTCTATAGCTCATAATTAGACAAAGTATTATATCACTCGAGAAGAAAATGTAAAGGGGTGCAAGGCAAGGAAGGTGTGTGGAATGATGTAAGAGAGGTTGACAGAAATGAGGGCTACAATAAAAAAAAAAAAAAAAAAAAAAAAAAAAAAAAAAAAAAAAAAAAAAAAAAAAAAAAAAAAAAAAAACCAGCAAAGACAAAAACAAGAACATAAACGTGGGTAGAAGAGAGTAAGGATTGTTTGGGGTATGACAAACAGCTTTTGATAAGTAAGAATTGACTACTTAAATCTAAATACTTGTGATCAACGTTCACTTTTAGATAGACGGCTAAGATTTAAATAAATGGTCATGCACAATGAAATTTAAAAAAAAAATATTTCAGGACACACACAATAAAGTCATTCGGTGGTTCGAATTACGTCAGCCGTCAGGGTAAGCTTATTAAAGTCAGACCCTTTCACGTGGCGGTCAGTTTTTTGGCCCCGGTCTCAAATCTCATTAGATCACAAAGCAAGGTCGAGATTGGCCTGGGCTTATCAATTATTTATAGACCTCTATAACTTTATTTATTTTAAAAAATAATTTAAAAAGCAAGGCTTTATGGAAGATTGTTTCTTAACTTGATGTCATAGAGAGCATGTAAGTGAGTTTTCACTATGACAAAATTTGGCATTTAATTTATTATTGGGGACCAGGCCAATCTTTGACTTCAAAGTTACCAACTATTTTTTTTTTTTAAAAACTAGCCCTGCCACTACAACGGACACTGTGGACCATGTGTATTTGAACGGGCAACGGGGGCGATCTAAGCAGGCCACCATTGAACCTTTCAAATCCATGAAGGTAATAATTTTAAATAAAAGACTATTAAAAAATCTGAAAACTCCTTTCAAATCGACAGTTGCTGAAGATTAAGGGAAACAACTCTCAAGTGGCAGATACTAATGGGCGTGGCTAATTCACCACAGCATGCGGCCAAAAATAAATCAGCGTTGGTTGTACAGTGTATGCTCTAGTCTCTAGCGAAGGCTGAAAGCGGAAGAAAATAAGCCCATGGGCGGGCGCGTCCGTCGAGCTATTTGGCCTGTGAACAACATAGAAATGTAGGCAGCGACCGTCTCCAGTCTCCACTGCGTGACTCATGCATCAATTATTTGACTTTCGGTCCTAAAAAAAAAACCCTTATTAGTCATTTAAAGCCATGAACTACCCATGTGTCGTGGTGAGATTTGGGAGTGCTATTAAAATATTCTGTAACCCAGCAAAGCACTTTAATTTTAGCATTTATTATATTTGCCCATGCCTCGGTCTTATTTCCACAGAGATGGGCTCATAAAGGTTAGGTAATGGGACATCCATGGATGACCCATAATGTAGTTTTTTTAAAGAAAAAAAACAACACACTTCACGGTTCACCTCTTGCAATATTATTTTAGTCAATTAATATGACACAATTTAATTTTGTTACTGTCCAACTGAAATCTCCAAAATGAATAATTGCAAATCCTTATTATTTTAAGCCTAAGCTGTGACCAGTGATTGTTTCAGAAAATTCCCCCCCCCCCCAGGCGGGGGAGGGTGGCGTCAGATTTTTCGGGAGTGGGAGGCAGTGCCAGTTGATTTATTGTTGGACATATTTTTGCTCGGGGGGGGGGGGGGGGGGGGTTTGGCTTTCCTGAAAGAAACCCTGGCTGTGACAGATTACGAAATTGCTCAAATTCCTTTAAAGAATATTTGAAGACATCTAAAGGCATAATCTTATCATCATTCAAGTTTACGAGATAGAAAAAAAAACAACAAAAAAATGGTACCGGTACCTTAAAAACCATCACAAAAAAAGATTGTAAACTTTTCATTATATTGAAAACACAATATTCCTTCATAACGATAAATCATGGTGGAGCCACATAATTGCTGCTGCTATACTACCCTCGACATTCCACCTGATCAAAGTGATCACATGATTACAATATCAATATTGGTTATCAATCAGCCAAAACATCGTTAAATATTATCAATTTTAATTGTTTTATATTTACCACCAAAGACTGTTTTCTGTAAAATTAACGCCAGTTATTTACTTGTATGGCTCAGGGGGACTTTTCTGTCGCGAGGAATGCTTGCTTACGATATCCCGCAATTGTGTGTAGGTCTACGTTACCACAACACACCGCGCCCAACTTGTCTCACAACTTGTTATGCGGTTTAGGAATGTGTCCGATTTGAAATCTTATATCACACAGCAGGCTGTACGGAGAGTACGCCTTCATACGCCGTGTCACGTTTCATAGTGGCCTACATTAGAGGGAAGTCACCTGGATCTGTCTATAGTCTATAGTATAATGCCTATAACTAATTGGACAACGCAACAAAATCACAATTTAAATGTAAGTGTAAGGGCATACAATTGGAACACAAAAGTTACAAGCTACAATAATGTTACCTGTTATTCTCTTTGAATATCCCACTGTCGAATTATTCAATATTGCAATTTAGCTTTCGCCAACACTGTCACACTGCTATTTCATTGGACATTTAATTCTTCAAACATTTTTACGACCTTATATACCAGGACCAAATGTTTCTAAAAATAATATTTCATCCTCAATTCTGATTGGCTGGGGGGTAAATTTACCGCTACTATTTTTGGCACATGACTTAGGGAACCTCTCAGGAATGTATTGTCAGGATGCCCTCCCACAAATACAATTTTTAAAGTTTTATTAGATGTATTTACACCATAACTATTTTTAAACAACAATATTTAAATAAAATCAAATCAATATTTAAATACTTTTGAATATAGGGTGTTAGGATAATGCTACATGAGATTTTCTCAAGAGAACTGTTAGTGCTACACTGCTAGATCTAATCTTGTTAGCTTCGCAAATAACATTCTTGCTGGTGGTTTGTTGCCTTGCTACATGACATATAAAATTGACGTCACACTAAATGTGGGCGTTACATTTGTAGTCAACTGAGGTGGTAAAAAGGGTTTGAAAATATGTGACGTAGGTTTATGCGCTTTCTATGCAGTGAATGAAATAGTGAAACGAGGTATGTGGAAGCTTGAAATAAGGTAACAGGACAAAAAACAAGGACGTTTCGGCATAAAGTCTTCCTCAACCAACAATAGAAATGAAAATATAACAAAGAGAGACGAATGAATACTGCTTGAGTTTTCTACTGTGTTCTTTTCTTTGTTATATTTTCATTTCTATTGTTGGCTGAGGAAGGCTTTATGCCGAAACGTCCTTGTTTTTTGTCCTGTTACCTTATTTCAAGCTTCCACATACCTCGTTTCACTATTTCATTCATTTACATAGCTTGAAAGCAGCCCCTTCATTTATTTCTTCTATGCAGTGGCAGATCTAACTAAGGGTATTATTTGGAAGTCATGAAAATTATTTGTCGCCCCATCCCTTCTTAAAAAGTAAAAAAATTGCACAATTATCTTAAAACAAACCAACTCAGCAATCCATTCACACAGGGCCGTACGAAGGGAGAGGCGAAAGTGACACCCGTCCTGAATCTCATCCCTTGGAGTCGGTGAACCAGCTTAGATTACCCACAGCTGGGATTGGGGTAAACAGATCAATCTTAGGGGATTCAATCATTAGATTTAAAGCGCGTTCCTTTTGATGAAATATTTTTTTTCGGACAACACTGCATCTGGCAAGTGCAGGCCTAATAGAGAAACTCACCCAAAGCATTGTAATTACTTGTGGCCCGGCAGCTAGTATAAGATCCCGTCTCGTCTTGTATAAGGCTCGCCTTATGTTCAGTGGCGTCACTAGAGTCGGTATAACCCAGTGCAGTAAACTCATGGTGTCACCCCCCCCANATATTTAAAATCGTTTTGGGTTTAAAAAATAAACAAGATATTTTTGGTTAGATGGAGAGTTATTCTGTCTGTGAGCGATGCGAACTGCTATTAAGAGATAAGCTGTTCAAGAGCTTCGTTACGCCTATGGGTTGGGTAATCATAAAACAAATGTGACATGTGGTTCTTTATTGAAAACAAAAAAAAAAAAAAGGGGGGGGGGGAAGTGTTGTTGCTATGATGCTTTTATAACACGGAGCAGTAATGAGACCTGTTTTTTTTTTCCATCCATCTCGCAGTGAGCTATGGATTTTCCTCGCACCTACTAGTTTATTCTAGCGTGTTGCTTCTATCATGGTCCCCTAAGGAGACGCCTTCGGTCTTTTTTGTGGCGCATTGAAATCAGGAATTAGACTTTGTTTGAAGGGCAATCATCTGAGTTTGACATGATTGTTGAACAGTAAAGCTCCAAAAATTTTAGCTTCATTTAATGACGTAGTAATAGATAGTATGCTGCCCTGGGTAGTCTTTAATTTTGTCGCTGTAGTGCAATACCTTCGTTTTCAGTTATGCAAGAATACCACTATTAAAGGAAAATTGTTATTTCAAGATCGAAACAACACAACAACATCTGAACTGCAAACTTTATTTTGTAAAACACCAGTTGAATGCTAAAGCTTTTAGATCCAATCAATTTACACAAATGATGTCTCCCTTTCAATCTCTAACTGACGTAGTTTAGGTAATAACCAAGTTTAGGGGGCTGCATGAAAATCAATCATCAAGATTTGTTCAAGAGATTGTTGAAAGTAAATTGTCATGCGTTCTAACTTTCGACAGCTGAGTTGTTCATTTTAACCACTGTTTACCAACTAATTTATCGTTTACTTTTATCATTTTTGACAGACCTCCAACCGTATCCGGAAATTTGATCGAAAGAAATTTCGTCGACGGTAAATTGATTGACGGTAATTTGATCGAACGGAAATATAGTCGAATCTTTTTTTCCGTTTTTACGTTTAAATTTTGCTTCAAATTTCTTTTTGAACGCATTATTTTGTTTTACTATATAGTATAGTGCGTTCAAAAAGAAATTTGACGAAAATCTTAACTTGTGAACTGAAAAAAAGATTCGACCAAATTTCCGGTCGATCAAATTACCGTCGATCAATTTACCGTCGACGAAATTTCTTTCGATCAAATTTCCGGTAACCACCTCCAACAATTGATTTTGTGCCATCAATCAGCACTTTAAAAAGAAAACGTCGCTAGTCTACAGACCTTAATTGATGAGACCATTTGATGACAGCATAAAACAAGCCGCCTCTTAGTTTTAGAGTAGAGGCTTGTTTTGTTGGACTTGAGTTTTTTCTTCCCCATATTTCTATGAACTTGGTCTGAATAAAGGGGGATAATACCGAGAATGTAGAATTAAGCCTATTTACTATTATTTTTTTAAAGTTTTTATTTTAAATAAAATAAAAGGAGGAGAGAAACGGTATACCGATTTTGCCCCCCCCCCCTTTTTTTTTTTCCAGACCTGAAACATAAAACCCGTTCACATTCTTCGCATTGCTCAAACAAAAAAATTATTGAATGGTTCACTCACAGAGGAGCACGGTATTCTTTGTGACTCGCGAAAGCTTTCTGAGCAATTACCGCATTTATCGGCGTATAACACGCACTTGTTATCCCTGAAACTAGGGGGCAAATGATGTGTGCGTGTTAGACGCCGATTGAATGGTACGTTTTTTCCCCTGAAATTTCCTTCTTAAAATGAGGTGCGTGTCATACGCCGATAAATACGGTAAGCGCAGTCGAAATTGTGCCCCTACCCCTTAATTATCCATAGTCGTCCCACTGAGTCAACTTTTAGTTACATATCATGACTTACAAATGAACAACTATTTTCGTTTCACATTGTAGACCGCATATGACTTATTCGATTTTTATTTCTTTCCATTCCTGCTGCCAGCCAATGATGAAGTCTCTCAAAGTCCTCCTTTCGATGATTTTAAATTCGTCTTACACAAAGTTTACGGCCTGCTTCGTTTCCTTTTATCTTCATAATTCTATAACTTGATATGTTGCCTATTGAGGTGTCCGAAATGTCCACCAGTATACTTCTCATCATTAAAACTACGTTTATTATCAAATCAAGTCCCTCCTAAAACCGTGCATTTTTTTTTCTTTTTGCCTTTTGACCCAAGACATCAGATGTAAACTTTCAGACTTTGAATGCAGGACATTAATGAACTCTCTACCATAGACACAAGAGCAGGCTGCGTTTCCTTGACGTTTGTATTCTGTGCTGTATTGAGCTTAGCATTGCCCAGTGTATTACTCAGTATAAGTCTCACTAGTTTTAAAGGGGGAGCTAACTGGGTTTTCTCTGAGATGTCTAAATGTACCGCTGTTTCAACAGCTGCCTGACTTAGCAGTAATTCCAGACATATGAGAGGTGCATTCTGCTACTTGATAGTTCAGAGGTTTTAAGAAAGAAGATAAGAAAATAACAGATGGATTATTTATTTTATAGTATCGCTAACTGTCTTACTACAGAAATGAATGATGATCAAGGTTCGATACATTTAGTTAGAAACCTACAACTCATTTTCACGTGAGTTCCAAAATTTGGTCAGTCAGAATACTTAGGACTTGGGAGAAACAACTTGCTACTCGTCACATCTTAGGTTCTTTGATCTTCCTTCCAAAATACTGTGTGTCATAGACCTCAAATAACAGATGGATTGTATAATTTATTGGTAACTGTATGTACTACAGGAAGATTATTATCAAGATTAGATAAATTTAGTTGATTTATTTTCTAAATTCTTAACATGCATAAGCCTATTTTATGCATTATTTATGTTTTGTTGATGATTCCACCTCCATCATTGAGTATTATTTTATTATATTTTTTTACAATTAATTTCCATAGCGGAATACTTTGAATAACATATATTTTCTGAGTAATGGATGACTTCTTTAAAACTTATGATATTTAATTGATAGACAATGATGAGTAATAACATATAATTTGTTTCATGTATAAAATGATAAAATAAAACAGTGCAAATTACTATTCTGCATAAAAGATTTATAATGACTAAGTAAATTGCACGTCACCAATTTTACACATATATCACTTAAAATGTAACATATCATTTAAAATTTATAGACCTTATGCCTCAAATTCAAATTTTTGTAAAATATAAATATATGAATGTTTTTTATTACACTCCTATTTTCAAATATTTCATATTATTAAGATATTTAATATTTTTGTGGGTCAAATATAGATTCAATGTAAAAAATGAAATGCACATGAGAAAAATACATCTATTTATTTTAACTTTCACTACATAAAGATAAACAAATGATAGCAGTACCAACTTTCATTGTTAAGGGAACAAAACTATCAGGCAGTAAATGTTTCAATGTAAGTACAACTAGTTTGGCCATGGTTTAAAAGGGACACTGTTTATTTAGAAACATTCTTCATATAAAGCAAATGAGGTGATGTGCACTAGAATTAGATGACTGGTTCAGGTAAGGTCAATCCAGAGACCACAAAAGGTTAGCATTGTAATACTACTAGGGATAGAAATAGCAAAGATGTACAGTTTGTTCTAGTATTCATTAAGAATATTTGTTCCTTAATAAAGAGTAACTTTTGTTTATTCTATTTAAATTGGTAAATATCTTAAAAATAATTGTGACAGCTATTTAACTAGACTTTATTGACTTTGGTCACAAAATTGCTGGGTGAATTGGACTTGATAGCCAAGTAGGGCAGCAATTCTAAGGGAGTAGGTAAGGCCTAAGTAAAAAAAAAAAAAAAAAGTAATAACCAGCTAAGTTGGACAACAGCAGCCGAAACTTGATAGCCAAGTAGGGAAGCAATTCTAAGGGAGGAGGTAAGACCTAAGAAAAAAAAAAAAAAAGTAATAACCAGCTAAGTTGGACAACAGCAGCCGAACCCAGAAATTAAAAAAAAATACTGGGTATAAGAAAAAAAGAAACTACATAATTTTAAAAAAATCATTAGACTGTGAATTAATTGATTATTGATATGCAAAAAATTTATATCATATAATTAAGACAATCTCAAGAAACTCTTTAGTGTTGTTAGGCTTTAACCACAAGTTTTCCTGATGCTGTCCCTTTGAAGATTTCTAGAAAAGCATCAGGCAGTTTTGTAAAACCATCAAAAACTGTTTCTTTGGGCTTGAGTTTTCCCTATAATTAAAATTTACAAAAATTATTTGACAAAATAAAAACATGTTTTACTAATGGTAAAAGAAGAAGAACCATATTTTTCAATGGGCAGCCTATTACTCATTTCCACATGAGTTCCAAATTTTGTCAGTCAGAATACTAAGAACAAACAACTTTAACAACTGTTACTGTTACCCCTCACACATTATTTTTTTGTGTTCCTTCCAAAATACTGTGTGTCATAAGTAAAAAATGTGAGCCCTCTGTTTTTGTTTATAGCCCCCATGGTTTGTTCCCAATTCAGTTTATTTGTTCAATCATATCATTTTAATTCTTCCTCTGTTATATTATAAACTGAATAGCAAACCAATTTTGTAAATTATTAATATTTTAAAAGGCTTTGAAAATTATGCTGGTACCTGAAATACAAAAAATAATAAGACTGGAGTCAGTGGTAATTATGTTTAGTTATAGTTGTCTAGAAAAACAAAGAGAAAGGTGACAAAACGGCCAAAACAAGCTGAACTGAGATCCCCAGGGTAAGAATTTCCAAACTGTCGTCAGATTTGTGCTACAAGGGAAGTGCCTGTAATTTACTTTAGCTCTGTCAATCAAATTCCTGGCTGCATTTCCAAGATGAGACAGCTTCCAAATCGGTGCACCCAAATGTCATTGAAAACTAAATGACTGAAATACTACTTTCCTTCTCTGTGATTAACTTTAAAAGTATCCAGTACACTGAAAGTGTCCACGAATGATCTTACCTCTTTGATCCACTGTGCTATTTCGGCCAAAGCATTGGGGAAGGCATGAGTGTAAGAATAGACCATGATGCCACTCACTGACAATTCATTGATCATAATGGTATGGATTACGTCCTTTTCTGCAAAAAAGAAAGCAGGAGAAAAAAATGGTGGTATCATTTATAAAAAACACAGCGGTTTTAGTTTTTTACTCTCATGTTATAAAGCCAGTAAGTAAGATGCTACAATACTTTAGGGAATTTAGCTGAAACAGTGTATATTAAGGAGGCATTAAAATTTTTTTTAAAGACTTTAAATCCTTTGCAATGAAAATTTAGACACAATAATTGTAAGTAATTTAAGGTGCATTTCAATCATATATTTTAAATTAATGAAATAGTATAATTTTAAAAACAAGTAGGAAATTAAGCGTGGAAAATTTCAACAAATTCTAAAATGAGATGTTTAACACCTGTCATATGATTATTTTTATAAATTTTAAGAATACATTTTTTTTAGCATACTAGCTAGCCTTTTAAGGGGCATTAATATTAAATTCCCCACACTGAAAGCAACAAATATATACTTTGAAAATTTTGAAAAATATGTTACCCGGTCCAGCCTCAGTGGTGTTATATCTAGAGATCTGTCCACAGCAACACATGCGTCCATAAGGGCTTAATGCATCAAGGACTTTAAGAGCATATTCACCACCGACCTAACATTTGTATCATGGTGAATAGTTTTTATGTTTGATAAATCATATATTTTAATTATACACAAAAAATATTAATAATTAAAAACACAAAGATGAAATTTCATTCTTTCTCTAAATCTTATTTAATGTAAAAAAAAATAATTTTTTTAATAAATAAATAAAAATTAAGCTAACTTACTTTTACAAATACACAAAGTATTCCAGTAAACCAAAAATTAATAGTTGTCTAGCTTGGGAAATTTACTAATGTTGTGAGCTTTCATTAATACTTAAATGTTTGCTATAAAGTATCCCCCCAAATAGCTGAACATCAAACAGATTTTCTGCTTACATTATCAAAATAACAATCTATTCCATTTGGGGCAAATGTTTTAATGGCATCCTCCACCGCAGTCTCTTTGTAATTGAAAACATAATCGAATCCTATGCTTTTCAACCAGTCAATTTTTTCTTTGTTTCCAGCTGAGCCAATTACTGTGCAGCCCTGGAATGTCACAGTACCATTTTTTTAAAAGATCAACAGAAAAAAAAATCAGACAAATGTTTATTTAGAAATTGTGCAATTTTCAAACAGTATTAAAAGGTTTTAATAAAAATAAAAGACTAAAACAGTTTTTATAAAAATGAAAATTTAAAGCTTGCTATCGGGATACTGCAGGTCTTGATGTTTTCAATTTTGAACTATGTTTGATATGATATTTATGCAAAACCTCCCTGTCCCCTCCTTACACTTCACCCATTTTATGTGTCTTATATATATCCATAGTGACCATAGCCTCATTGAAGTAGCAAAATACACTATCATGTACAAGTCTATTTACATCTTTTGTGTCAAAATAACAGGAGATGTCATTTTGTTCTAAGGAAAATAATACAAATTCCTTACTTTTTTCATTTATTTCATAATATGACCAAATTCTTGATTTCATTCTTTTTTATCCTCTTAAATCCATACTTTTTAAACAAAACTGCATCTAAATATTTGGAAGTTCCAAAAATCTATCAATATTAAATCTGGTTTACCTTAATTTTAGCAATCTGTCCAACAACACTGCCCACAGCACCAGCTGCTGCACTAACAAGAACTACATCTCCAGGTTTAGGACGACATTTTTCCAAAAAACCAAAGTATGCAGTCAATCTGAAAAAGTGTGGCATTGATATAATTTAGCATGACACTTTTTCCACAGTAGACAGTCATTTAAATCAATTATAAAAATATCACTTTCTACTCTATGAGCCCATGTATTACTGAAACAAAAATCTTAATAATATGGTTTAATCCCTACAAATGATATAGCAACCACCTTTGATAAAACGTGATGAAATAAAGGTTTTGTATTGATTAAACTCACCCTGGCATACCCAAAATACCTAAGTAGAGAGAATAAGGGACGTCACCAACATTGGGGATTTCAACAAGTGTTTTCTTTGGCGTGAATCGTGTAACGTAATAGGGGTTATCTTGGTCAGGGTCCAGAACAGTCTTGTCTCTCCAGCCAACCATAGCCAGCACAATCTTACCAATGGGAAACTTATCATTTTTGCTATCAACAACTCTGAAGAAAAAAAATGTTGTATTATGAAAGAGAAAAAGTGAAGAACCTAGTGCTTAAAGAACTGTACTTAAGTCAAATTTTTGTCAACATCAATCTTAACTGTGACCTTTTCTTATCCGGTTTAGCCAACTATACAGCAAACATTTGAACACTTTCAAATGTAATTAAGTCCCTTATTTAAAAAAGCCAAAAAATAAGAATGATTAAATTTTATAGACAAAAAGAATATTTAAATTGGATTATCTCATAATGGGCATTTTTTAAATCCAGTACTCTTAGCTGATAGGTCTTCAAGTATTAGTTACTTCAGTGTCATATTGCTAGCAAAAAAAAATTCAAAGGGTCTAATTTCAAAGAGTTTGATAGACATATTCAGAAAAGATCAAGACGATCAAAACAAAATGTTTACCCTGGAAGTTTTAGCTGCTGATTTTTTTTTATGTAATTGAGGTATTAAACAAAACTGTTATGAAATCTGAAAAAAATTAACTGAAAATTGCTATTACATTTAAAATACTGCCAGCTAAATGGCCAAAAGTAGATTTATTTAACTGTGATAGTATGCATTCCTGTATTGATTGTTTCTTTATAGACCTAAAATTATATTGCATTTTTCTATTCATTTACAGGATACATTTAAAAATGTTTCAGTATGGATATATTTATTAATGCCTTCATATTGTTCCTCCTTGTTATGGTTTAAGATACATGTAATACCCGGTAATCAAAAATTGTTTACTTTAATGCCTTACTTTGCTATTTGTTGTCCTATAGGAGATTTGTCAACTTGTTTTGGAAAAACTCTGTAGAACATTCAAACAAAAATTATGAAAAACACTTAAACTTCCACTATAAATGTATCATATTTAATTCTTAAAAAAACAACTTAGGATGTTCTTTTCATAATTCTTTTGAAATAATGTGATTAAATTATAATATTTTTATCAAGACTTTACGACACAAAGCAAATTACAATAATAAAATTAAGAAATTGAGCCATCCAAAAAACTATAAACTAGTAGGGCCTATAGCAGCACTAATAAATTTTTTCTCATTTACTCAACAATTTCTGGATGGGATACCTGGGTACCTCATTTAAATTAAGTACACTGATTAATTACTGTACTGATAGGGCTTACTTTAACTTTTAATGTTTTGAAATTACCTCATATATGGATCAACTGTCAAATATAATGCCTCTATTAAGATTTCTGTAAAAAACAGAAAAGAAACAAATAAGGTGGTCAGATGTCATGATTTTTTTCCAAAAAATTCTGATTTTTTTTTATCCTATCCTATTTTATAAAAATCCACACCCATTATGGTAGTGCTGGATTTTCTAGTAATGTGCAAAATGATCAAAAATACTTTAATAGATAATTCAATTACTAAATTTGCATTTTAATGAACCCAGGTCAATTGACTTTAGCATTTAAAAAAAACCCCAATATTTGTACGTTTGGCAGGTATATTAAATTACAATTAGTCCGGGGCTTAGTAATAGAGCCTAAGGATTTAGGGGCTTAAAACTAATATTTACAATTATATTTTCACGCAAAGTTTTTTAATTTATTGTCACAGTTTAAAGCTAAAGACTTAAAAACCTCTGTTACAAAACTGAATTGTTAAAAACCAAATAATTTCAGCAGATTACAATTGATACAAATTAAATGAATTCATTTAATTAAATAATAATGATGAAAAATTAACTATTTATAATTTATTTACATTTTAATTCATTATTTAAGAATGGTTAGAGTTAGATACACTGCCAACTGAGGATGTAATATCTGTTAATGATTAATGCAGGCGCAGGATTAAATTAGTGAATCCTGAAGCATGGCATAAATAATATCCCATAACTTAGCCCATAAGTGGCCTCAAGCCATTAATCTATACTCTATAGTCTATATTTGTGAGTATTAGTTAGGGCCTAACACTAACTATTATTATTATTAATAATAAAAGTTAAATATAAATTTAAGTCATATTTAGATCTATTTGTCAGTTAATAGCCTTTAATTTTAATAGGCATATGAATATGGGCCTAGTTCATTCTACAGTTACAGACAGGGCTTAGGCCATTTATATGATATTATAATTATAGTTCAGATAAAGACAATATAATTATTTTAGTAAAGTGTAACCTGCCTAAGCGGCTTAGGTTTAGGCTTACTAATTAACTAATTAATTAGTATTAAAATTAGTATAAGTATTAAGTATTAAATACTTATTAGTATTAGGCTATGTCATAGTATCAATCAATATCATAATCATATCTAATTCTACATTAAATAGTATTAGTAGGCCTATGAGTATGATAGGCCTGGCCTATGCCTATAAATATAAAGTATATAGACTATATGACTATATAATATATACTATATAGTATATAAATATAGACTATATTATATACCATATAATATATATATAGCTTGAATTGTAATACTGTAAAACATTTTTAAAGTAAAATTAGTAGGCCTAAGTAGGCTTACTAGTACTCACTAATAAAAGTTTTTGTTTTAGAAATAATAATACATGTTTCATTTATGTTGGTCTAAGTCAAGTAAAATAATTTTTTAAATGCGTTATTACTACTGCTACCGGTACTTACCTCCAGCCTTCAGGGCAGGCAACTCTTCCTCCACCAGCTGAAAGTTGTCTAAAGATACGGCGCCTTCAAATGCTTTCGTTTGAATCCACTTTCTTGCTACGACCATTTTGAAAGTTTTGCGAATCAATAACTAGATCTAGATCTCGCTAAATGAGCCTAACCCCTTTGCTTCAAATCCAAAGTTACTGTTAATATAATATGCCCTGGTTGTGGAGATGGTGTTCTTCGGGGAAAAGGGTAGCAAATGTTGAACTAATCAAGATGGAAGGTCAAAAGTACGCCGAAGTTCTGTGCATTTTTTTTTTTTAAAATGTTATCTTATCATGAAATGGCAAAAATTCTATGTCATGATGATTTTAGCAATTCAGAATAAACGGAGGACGCGCAGTAAGGGTAAAACAATGTTTCTTGTATCCATTAAAAAAAAAAAAAGCAAACTCGCAATATTGTATTTAAATAGACTAAATAGTTGGTATTATATAGACTATTGACATGGAGTATGATAAAACGAAAGTGGGCTATGCCAATCATTAAAGGAAAGATACGAAACAGTGGCGTATCTAGGTACTTAACCATGTTTTGCCGCCCCTCCCTTTTACTACCATCACTCTTTCCCCCTGATATCTTGCTAGGAGAATTAATCAAATTAATGCAATCGATGTAGAAAAACTTGTATTCAACATAAACAAAAAGTTAAAATTTGCTCAATGCATTTGCTATTTGATTTCAATTTGTTTTTGCCATCCCTAAAATTTTGCCGCCCTAGGCAGCTGCCTAATCGTGCCAAATGGTACGGCCGTTACTAAAAAGATTGCAAGAGGTAGTAGTTGGTAGTAGACCCTTGGTGGTTAACTTTGAAATAAGAAAAAAAAAACTAAGAGTTTATTGGGCAGATCTAATCTAGGGAAGGGGTGTTAAGGAGATAATAGTTAGCAAGAGTAGAATAGGCCTAATTTAGTTCACAAACTAAACGCTGTGATTTGTCCACCAGTCAGGAACGCGTTCAAGATAACAAACTCCGTGAAATGAGAAATAGGCTCACATGATACGCGAATGCTATGACTATGAATGAATGACGTTGCAAAACATCATATTACTGCCTCCACCTCGCAGCTAGAAGCATGCCGGTACCTAGAACTCACTTGCAGTAGTTTAATAATAAAGACGTAGGTTACGAGGTCTTAGAACTCGTAATGGACATACACATTGCGGTGCTGGGAAAGGCGTGGGGATTCCCTCTGAAGGCGGTGGCAGACAGAGAGATATCCTTGAGTTGATTGATGATGCCCCGAATGCACGGGAATAGCTTTCTATGAACTATGATGAACTGGGGCAAATACAGTGATATTTTAGCCCACTCCCCTTCATCTCATTACAACACAGTAAAATTGTAATGATTAATATTACTATTATAATTATCAACATCGTGTTTTTATGAACCCCAAGCAGGATACGCCAAGTATCTAAAAGCAACGATATCAAATGGTGTCATGCCCCCTTATCAGCAGACGGCCACGTCAAAATCTGGCACTGTCTTGCCTGAAAGACATTTATATTAACCATAGCTTGAAAATCATGCAACAGATAATCTATTATCCAGTCCAATAAACTAAGACTAATCCAATAAAATTTTTGGCTAACATTAATCTCTGTTTAGATCAGTGGTTCTCAAATTTGATTCCACCACCGCCCCTTGATTATAAAATCATCATGAGCGCCACCGCTGTTATCTCATTTTAGGCATTCTCAGTAGTATAATAGTTTGCAATATCTTCTACAATGAAATTTTTAGGTGTAACATATATTAAAATATTTAATCAAAAGATATTTTTAAAGCTTTAATAAATTTAATAATAGGCCTTTGCTAAACTGATTAATTTTATAAAGCAATGATTATTGTTCTGGTGGCAAACTGACCTAGAACACGACCTACTAGAAATCTAGTGGGTCATGCCTAGACGCCCTCTTTCGTCAATGTGTGTTGTTTTTTTTTTTACCAATCCTGGGGCCGAGGTTATCGGAGGACCTCGCGATTTTAACAAAAAAATCTCCACTGTTCATGCGATTTTTAAAAAAAATTATTTTTTTTGGTCTTTGTAAATAAAACTATAGACTAATTCAAAAACTGCCTAAAATTTGTTTAAACAAAATTATTTCAAAAGAACATAAGCAATAAAATATAGGCCTATAAATAATTCATAAGAAAAGTTTTTAGCCTACAGAGCAAGTTGCCAACAAAACAGAAATCACCAGAGCTGTCTGCTACCAGGATAGAGTGTCAAAGTGGGCACTGTTGGGCTAGAGGGAGGGACTCCATCCTTCTCCCCCCCCCCCCGTTGATTGGCACTAACCTAGGGCCTAGTGACGCAGTTGAATGACGTGTAACAAAAATATTATTCACTTGCCATTTAATGACAACGCAATTAAATAAGGTCAAAATGGGCACTGTTGGGCTAGAGGGAGGGACCCCCTCCTTCTCCCCCCCCCCCCGTTGATTGGCACTAACCTAGTGCCTAGTGACGCAGTTGAATGACGTGTAACAAAAATATTATTCACTTGCCATTTAATGACAACGCAATTAAATATATTTCGTATTGGTAGCCATGCTTCAATGACCTTAGGATTTTCTGGTTTGATGAGTTCTTCGCCCAGTTATTGGTACTTTCCCGATTTAGTCATCGATAGGTTCTTTATGCAAAGTTTTATCATTTGAGAAATTGGACAACCATCTTTTGAATCGAAACAAAAATGGGATATCTCAAAGTTTGAGATTTCTTATGATTGATATGGTTGCTTTAAACTTCTATGATCAACAAAACTGTTGAGAATGCCACAGACATGCATTTAACTATTAAAATAATATTATGAAATATTAATGGTTATACTGATATGACCATACGAATATCTGCCATTTTAAAAAAAGTTCCCACATAAGTTTATTTTTAAAATAAGTTCGGAGAAAATTGGGATTTATAGTTATATTTATTCGTAAATTTTATAGTTTTGTGTTGGTGACCCTGCTCCTAACCTGAGAAATTTGTGTTTGTTTGGGATCTGTTTTGTGAAAATTTCACTTTGTTTATTTAAACATTTTTCAAAATAGTTCATAACTTTTTTGTTTATGCCAAAATTGTAAAGCAAATTAAGATAGAAAAATGTTTTTGGTTCAATCTTTTAATCCAGAATTTGGCAGTGTTCATGCCATGTCAGCTTATTATTAATGGTGACACCTAGGTACTTACATGTCTCTGCTTTCTATATACTGTGATAATTTATTGTGCATTGTGGTGATTCACCCTCCAAAAATTGACAACCATTTCTTTCGTTTTTGCGACATTCAAATGAAGAACATTTTCATTGCACCAACTATAAAGCTGTACAGAAACTGAGTTGTCATATAAGCTTTCCCATTCAGATTTTAAGCCAACAATGGTGGCACTGAATCCGCAAATTTAATGACTGGAACAAGTACATACATGTTTGTGATATAAATGTCTTTTAACTTGCTCGGTTCCACCCTCCAACACGTCATATTTAAGACTGGGATAATATTTAATATTATCCCAGTTTATCTAAGCCCCAGTTATTTATGTTTAAGCCCAAGCAATGAATGGACTTAATTTAATCCAGAAATTTAACAAAAAGTATATTTAAAAAGTGAACTCGCTCTTATTTTGACTGCTTTCAAAGAGTTATTACCCCTGCACCCATAGAGCATGGCACCCTGGTTGAAAACTACTGATAGTGATAGTTCTAGATACTGGTAGGCACCTGTCACATCTCCCAGTTGGATGTTCACAGTAATTGCATCCTCCACGTTAAAATATTCTCTACTTACCAGCATCTTTAAAGTATATGCTTTTGAGGTATACGTTTCTCAAGTGTTGCTGGCTTTTTATATTTTTTTTTTCTGGTTGCCTTTGTATTGACATTGTTAACAAATACATTCTTCCTAAAAAATCATTGAGGGCCCACTTAAATTGCAAGTCAGGGATGTGACATATATTTGTGGCACCATGGACAATAACTTAGATGACCTAGGAGTCAAAGCCATTGTTTTAAAATAGTGTCTGGAAAGTGCATCCCTGACTATAACAGTACCGGCACATAACTGATTTGTAAAATACTAGTATACCATATATTTTATTTTTATTATTGTTATATTTTAATTTCTACTGTTAGCTGAAGAAGGCTTTATGCCGAGACGTCCTTGTTTTTTGTCCTGTTCTCTTATTCAAGCTTCCACATACCACGTTTTGCTATTTCATTAGTTTAATACCAGCAAGCTAAGGCATTGTTTCATAAATTGTAACTCAACTATTAATCAGTTTGTTGAATGAATTTAATTAAGTCCAAACAGTTGTTAGTTAAACACAACAAGAATGCTTGTCCCCAAGAATTACCCAATAAAAAGTGTCAGGGGTGTTTTGATGAGAAGACAAAAAACCCATTATCTTCATGTTTTGATGGCATGAACAAACTATGAGCTGAAGAATCAGAGAAAAATAAAAATACTTAAATGGAGTCTAACAAGGTTTTTTGCAAAACTGAAAGGATGGGTAAAATGTATAAATACATCTTCACCCGACAGTTTTGAAATTCCACAACATAAATCTATATGATAAAATTGTCAAATGAGTTAATCAATCAGTTTATGAAAATAATTTAACAAATATTCCCATACCATTCCATGTAAATAGAAACTTTTAATAATATTCAGTGTTTGTAGTGTGGAAATATTAATCACAGAAAAATTGTACAATTATAGTATAGTCCACATTAGAAAACTCAAATTTCTATAAATATACATTACAAGCTATGCTTGGTGTATAAATAAAAATATTCTTTAAATCATGGGTTCTTAAACTCCACCCACACACTCTCTGGAGGCTCCTAAATTTTGGCTATCCAAATAATGTATTACCGGTAACTAAGAGTCCATAGCCTCTGTGATACAATTTCAATTAGTGTAAGTGTTCTCAGACTACATTTGTGACAAAGTTTTAAGCCTCTGTTTTTATATAGTTTTCAGGTATATCTAAAGAGCTTTATCATGAAGACTAAGAAAAAAAAAATAGAATACATTTTAAAGCCTTCCCTTTTACAAGGTTAAATAAATAAACCGTAAACAATTAAAAGAATACCCACATTAAAAAAATTTGAGAAATATTGTGATACAATCTGAGCATAGCCGATTTCAATTTTGATAACTTAGGTCAAGGGCAACTTTGACTGTTAATCGTCCCATTCATCATCATCACTAACATCGTCATCGTCATCATCATCATCCTCA